CAGAAAAATCCTTCCTCAAAATAGTATGTCTTGATCAGTTTTGGCAGGATTCAGAAATAATAAGCATTTAAGGTTTGGCCTTTTTTCTTGATTTATTACCACATTGAGCATTGTAATTACATTTTGGTACTATGTAGCAAAGCTGTCTAAACTTTTCTTTTTCTATGACTTCATTGATACTTCTCTTTGGGCTCTTTTGAAAGTAAATACTGTGTTACAATTTGCTTTCTATATATGCCTGTGCCTATTGCCCTATCCTTTTTTTTTTTTTTTTTTTTTTATCTTTTTCCATGTTTTTTTAACTTTAGTATAAGTTGATAATCCTCTTTTGAGTTTTAAACTTGTTTTCAGGTTCTTTCACCTCACTATGAAAGTAGCCTTTACACTGTCCTGGCTCTAGTTCATTCTGATTGCTCCCTTTGGTTATTTTATGAAAAGTCCTTTTCCTTCCTCTTTTTCCCTTCGAAGTACAAGCCGCCTTCTCGGCAGCTCCTGCCATCCTGCTTCTCTCCGCCTCATCGATTCCCCATCTCACTTCAAATCTCAGTAGTAAACATATGTTCTCCCTTGTCTGTACTTCTTAATTTCTCTTTTCCGCTGTTACTGCTTTCTTTGTAATTGTATTATTTAACTTTGTTAAGCATTTTATAATATGGAAGATGTCGTTGAAAATAAAGTTGTATCACAATAAAATCATGTTGTATAAAAGCAAGTTGTTTCCCAAGGAGTATGAAAATCTCATGACACAAGTTAAAATGGCTGTTGTTTTGGTATTCCTTGATTGTGCTAGTGTAAATGTTGCCTCAGTATAGAGAATTTCTCCCTTCATAGTCATTGTTGATAAGTGATTGAATTAGGCAACAAATGATGTGAAGGCCACCCTAATTCTGACTTATTTTCAATGGAAAATAATATTTTTATATGTTGTGAGTCTTTAAAATCACGTTTTGAATGAACAATATAAGAAAATGTCTCCCAGAAGGTACATTTTATAATCACTCTTTTGGTACATTTTATAATCACACTTCCTGACTAATATTTATTAATTTGCACCAGGTGGGAAAAATCATTTTATCTTTGAATCCTATTCTCTTCATAAAATAGAGTTATTGTATCTTTTACACTTGGTTCATTGCCCATTGGGATATTCACTGGTTACCACAAATTGCCTCCATGCCTTGGCAGAAGTCCAGATAGTGCCTGGACAATTTGGACTTCGGCATTGGTCGTTGCTCCCCACGTGAGTCCTGAGATGACGGCTCCATTCCCTTTTTCAGCTTCATTTCCCAGGGAAAAGTAGAGCGAGCTATCCTTTCTTTTCCATATGTTCTTCCCCATCCCTAAAACACTTTTATGTGTCATTTCAGTGGATTGGAAAGGAGTTTAGAATCAATGAAAGAGGTTAGCAATGGGTTTGTACATTTCTCTTTTTTATTTCTATGCCTTGCTTATTTTCAAAAACAGGTTTTAACTTCTACAACATTTTCTGAATAGCACTGGTGGAAAAAGAATATTTACTTTTTTAGTGTATCATATACTGCTTTTCCTTCCTTTAAAAATTTCTTTTGCCATTTTTAACTTTATTTCATGAAAAAATTAGCATTAAATATTATTTTTATCCATAGCTGGAAAAAATTAAAGTATCCATTTTACATTTCTATATTGAAGAAGTTTGAACATATAACACATATATTTACAGTTTATAACTCACTTTTACATATGTTGCCTCAATGCAAAATTTTGCTTAACTTTAAGATAGCTTAAACATAATATTGCCCATATGACAGTCTTGCTGCCTTTGATATTATCTTATAATCTACAATGGTAAAAGCTGGGAAACAGTTTAAAAGTTTATGGCTTGGTATGTCAAACAGATTTTGACTTTCACAATTTGTGTCAAATCTTTTTGCCAAGAATGCTTGTGAAAATTCACATGAGTGATGATACCTTATTTTGCAGGTATTTCTTTGGTTTTAAAAAACTTTTGCATTTTGATTAAACACAGTTTTATAAAGAAAGTGGGAGGAGCTTAGTTTAAACAATTTATAGACTGTGGAGTGAGAAGTGATGTCCACAGATTAAGCAGTCAGCTTATTCATCCACTGTGGCAGATGGTTTTCTGTCCTTCCCTTGATGGTTTCCAGGAATAAAACATGCATAGTCTTCCAGATTAGCTGATTTGTCAGTTGATTTGAATGCTTGTTATACATTGTTCTTTATTTCCCAAATTTTATTTTTGCAGTTTAACTTCTTTGTCAATTCTTTTTCTTTTTGAAAAGAGGAGACTCAAATAACTTATTTGGAAAATGATTTTTAATTTACTTGCAGGACTATTTGGAAGTAAAGTGTGTATGGTAAAAGAAAGATCTGTACCATTTCAAATTTTTGTGTTAAGGATTGAGACTTGAGTTGCAGAAAGTTGTTTGTTTGTGTGACAGGGTCTTGCTCTGTGACCCAGACTGGAGTGCAATGACATGATCATGGCTCACTTCAGCCTTGCACTTCTGGGCTCAAGTGATCCTTCAGCTTCAGACTTAAATATATGTATTTTTAAATTTGACAGATTTACACTGTGGTAGGTGAAATGTTTGAATAAAGAAGTAATATAACAGGTAGTTATTTTTCCCCCAATTATAACTTCGTATTATATGTCCTGAGGTGAATCTTATTCGTTGACTCATGAATACACTCATGAATAAATGTGTGCAACAGAAACACCTTATTTATTTATTTGAGACAAAGTCTGGCTCTGTCACCCAGGTTGGAGTGCACTGGTGCAGTCTTGGCTCACTGCAGCTTCTGCCCCGCTGGACTGAAGTGGTCCTCCCACTTTGGCCTCCCAAAGTGCTGGGGTTACAGGCATGAGCCACCGTGCTAATATATGCTTTGTTGCCCTTCTTTGGAAAGTCTTATTTTGGTTATCCTGTTATTTCTTATTCTCATGCTGCAAATCCATCCCCATTTGGTGAGTACACTGACTGTTTCTCTCATCATGGTTCATTTTCCATTATGGTCTATAGCTTTTTACCGTGATGTCTCATTAATAAAGATTTCTGTTCTGTGTTTTGGAAGCATCCCTGCAAAGTGTTTTCACATTTGCTCCTACCAGGTCCTAAAGTTTTACCAGTTGAGGACTACTTTTCTTTTTTCATTTTTTGGCACGAGGATAGGGTGGGATTCTAAACTATGAAGGTTGTGTGAATTTAGGCCCATACTCTATGCATGGATCATGCCTAATATGGTTCTGATTTCCTCTGGTGACTGTCCCCTGCCTTGCTTCAGTTGATGTCATGCCTGCTTGGGCTTCCTGGCCAGTGAGCTAAGTTTTTCTAGTCCTGGTTTTATGGATAGGGTGATCCTTTCAGAGTTTTGGTTTTATGAAGGTCCTTTCAACTGTGACCTGTGTCTTGAAATAATGTCTCTGAATGGGTGTTGGGGAGTCCCCTTGTAACATTATGGTTTGTAACTTGTTCCATGAGACATGTTAGCTTCAGCTCCTGACCTCTGCTGGTTGACTTTTCTCTTAGTTTCTTACAACTGTGGATTCTCTGCACTTGTTTCAAGTTTGGTTCTCTAAGTAGTGTTTCAGTGCTTGTATTTTTAAGCATTTCAGTGTGTTTTGATGTGGCTGGGTTTGAGAGGCAAAGGGATTCTGTTATACAATTTAAGATTATTTTAGATTTTTATAATTTGCTCATCACCTTTCTATCACCATGTCAAATATTTTGTGCCTATTTTGTACTGTGTACTTTGAGAAATAAAGATCTTTGGCTGGATTTCCTCCTTCAAGAAACTTATTCCTAATATAAACCTTAGTGGAGCTAAGGTACATATCTCATAAAAATGCAGTTCCAGTAGGTGTCAGAAAGTCAGGCTACTGATGTGGAAAAAAGTGGTTGGAAAAGAAATGATAGAGGAAGTGGTATTTAACGTAAAATATGAAGAGTGGTTAGAACTTGATTGGGTTTACTGTGTTAGACAAGAAGAGATTGGTCCAGCTTGAAGAGAGCCTTCAAACAATAAACCAAAGAATTTATATTACATCTTGTAGATAAGAAAAAGGCATTGGAGGTTTTTGAGTGGTAGGGACATTTAGTGCAAATAATGTTTTATAATATTAGTGCTACAGTTTTGGAAGACTAGTGCATTGCTCAATTAAAGAAAAGGGCCTGGCGTGGTGGCTCATGCCTGTAATCCCAGCACTTTGGGAAGCTGAGGTGGGTGGGTCATCTGAGGTCAGGAGTTCGAGACCAGCCTGGCCAGCATGGTGAAACCCCGTCTTTACTAAAAATACAAAAAATTAGCTGGGCATGGTGGCATATGTCTGTGGTCCCAGCTACTCAAGAAGCTGAGTCACAAGAATCACTTGAACCCAGGAGGTGGAGGTTGCAGTGAACCGAGATCACACCACAGCACTCCAGGCTGGGCAACAGAATGAGACTCTGTCTCAAAAAAAAAAAAAAAAAAAAAAAAAAAAAGGAAAGAAAAGTTGGTATATCTCCCTTAGAAGTTAAACTCAAGACTTTACAGGTACAAATATAAGTTTGTTTTATAGTTCCTTGTTTTTGTCAACAAAAGTTTATCTGCTCAGTGAGGATGGGCCCCAACCTATGTTGTAAATGAGTGGAACTGTCTGGGAACAAGAGTGGCTACCTGGAGAGCTCATGCCTTTTGGGGTCCTCTTGATTGTTAAATGTTACAAACTAGGTCAAATTTCTAAAAACATTGTTTGGCCTCAGTAAAGTATGTATGCAAGCATAGTTTGAAGCAAAAGCTGTGAGTTTGCAACCTCTCTATAGATAGTATTCATTATTAAATTGTTATTATATTCTATCATAAAATTTTTTTAAAATACATCTTTCAAAATTGTCTACAAAATAGAAAAATGTGGCCTGTTTGATTTGAAAGGTCTAATAAGTAGCTATTTATAGTAATATTTTTGGATATTTTGATTTCCTGACTTGAACATAAAAATATTTTCCAAAATTCTTGTCTTACAGGTAAAAGAATGTCACATGTCAGCATTTGTACCTGAAGTCAGCATGCAAATTTCAGGGTACATGGACGAATGCCAACTTTTGCATTTCCCATGTGTATCCTGTGACCGTTCTATCTGGGGTGAGTAATTTCTAAGAGTCGCTGGCAACAAACCAGATGCCAGCCAGCCATGGACTACCCTAACAAATAATGCTAAGAGTTATAAATTAAACACTGTCTGTGATCTGTGATGTGTAAGGCAGTTAATTTAGTTCATGTGGATTAAATGTCAGCACCAAAAAACTATATTCTCATAATGTGAAATCTGAATTTAGTATTTTTGGAAGACAGTAGTAATACTTAATAGTAGGGAATTATTTGTTAACATGTAAAATTATAGCAATGCCTAATATTCTTTTGAATTTACAGCAGTATTTTAGTGGCTCACCCTATAATTTAAATAATTTTAATTTTCAGATTCAAGGACTTAGTATTTCTTGAATGATGGTTATAATTTTGTATAAAATAGGGCTTTAGGGATTATATATCTTCCATTGCCTTATAATATAGTTTTGCTTCCCATATTGTATGCATAACAATATTTAGGTTTTTTAAAAATACATTAGAACATTTATTTATACCAGACTTCACATTTGTATTTTAAAACTTTTTTTTAAATTTCATTCTGGGAAATTACATTGAGGATAGAGCCGGTTTGTTACCTTATCCATGCATTTTTCTGCTTATTTAAATTATTTTACCTCACCAAGCCATTCATTTTTTTTAGAACATCCTTCAAAGAGTCCGTGCGTCTTACTGAGGACACCTGACCTTTTGAAGCTTCATAATTCACATCTAGATGTCACCAGTCTTTCCCATGTTAACAGTTCTGACTATGTTTTATTATATATGCCTTCGGCGCCGAGCCAGGACAGCTACAAGAGGAGAGATGATGAACAGCCATAGAGCCATAGAATCAAACAGCCGGGCTTCCCCTCTCAATGCAGAGGTGGTCCAGTATGCCAAAGAAGTAGTGGATTTCAGTTCCCATTATGGAAGTGAAAATAGTATGTCCTATACTATGTGGAATTTGGCTGGTGTACCAAATGTATTCCCAAGTTCTGGTGACTTTACTCAGACGGCTGTGTTTCGAACTTATGGGACATGGTGGGATCAGTGTCCTAGTGCTTCCTTGCCATTCAAGAGGACACCACCTAATTTTCAGAGCCAGGACTATGTGGAACTTACTTTTGAACAACAGGTGTATCCTACAGCTGTTTATGTTCTAGAAACCTATCATCCCGGAGCAGTCATTAGAATTCTCGCTTGTTCTGCAAATCCCTATTCCCCAAATCCACCAGCTGAAGTAAGGTAAGACTCATTTTTTAGTGACCTAAGTTATATGGCCAAAAGGTTTTGGTTGTATTAATATTGGAGATCTTTTTATTGGAAGCAATCATTTAAGTAATTTAAATTAATTTGATTTTGAAAATCGTCCTTCATTTCCTGATGAGAAAAAAGATCATTCATATGAAGATTTAATGTAGACTTTATACCTGTAATACTTCACGTTATAATATTCATGGCATATGAATTTGTATCTCATAAAATTTACCAAAATTAAAAAGCACAATTTGAACTAAAAGGGACATGGGTCATTCTGAGAAGTTAGTAAGAAATATGACTTTGAAAATATTTTCAAACAGGCATTGTGTTATCACTTTTACATCTTTTCAGCAACTTACAATAGGCCTATGAGTGATACTTCAGAGGAGGTCCTTAGGGGATTTGGTTTAATGTTAGTTGAATGTTTTTGCAACAAGCATATTCATTTAAAAATCAGTGTTGCTTTAAGTAATTCATGCATTCTCCCTACAAGCCTGTTTTGCATAGCAGCTACTTGGCTGTTGTTTTTGTCATTCAACCTCCTAATTTTTAAAAATGATAGAATGCAGTCTTCCATGTACCCTGTCCTCCATGTGCCTAGGACCCATTCCTCCCTCAAAGAAACCAGTTTTATCAGCTTCCTTTGTATCTTTCCAGAATTTCTTCATGCATATACAAGAAAATACAAATATATATTTTTTAATATACACAAAAGTAAGCATACTCATCACCTTGTTCTGTACCTTGTTTCACACAGTAGTATATATTGGGATCTTTTTATGTAAGTACAAAGAGAGCTTCCTTATTCTTTCCTACAGTTGCAAGTAGGGCATAGTGTGTATGAACCCCAGCTTAGTAACCAGTCCCCCATTGATGGGCACTTAGTTGTTTCTAGTCTTTTGCTGTTATAGACATTAGTGCAGAGAGTAACCTTATTGTAAGTCACTTCACATGTGTGCAAGTATATCTGTGGGATAAATTTGCAGAAGGGTTTCTCAGTAAAGGATAATTTGATAATTTTATAATGTTTAACATTTTTTTTTGCATTTTAACAATTTATTTTTAATTACATTTAATTTTAATTTTTAACATTCGTAATTTTGATATGTAATGCTAAACTTCTCCCCCAAAGGGTCTGTACTATTTATATTCCCACTAGCAGTGCATGTACATGGGTGTTTTGCCAAAGCCTCACCCAAGAGTGTATTAATAAATTTTAATATTTTTGCAATTTAATAGGTGAAAAATGTTATCTCATGTTAATTGCCAAACTTCTTTTATTATCTCTGAGGTTGAAATCTTTTAATATGTTTAAAAGCCATTTATATTTCTTTTTTTTAAACTATCTGATCATATTGTCATTTTTTCTATTACTCATGGATCTTAGCAGTTTCTAGGACTTTTATATCACTTTATTAAATCACTCATTCATTAAATATTTTAGTGCCTACTATGTGCTAGGTGTTGTTCTAGGTATTAGAGATGTGTCAGTGAGTAATGAACAAAATAAATAAAAGCCCCTGCTCTTAGGAGCTTATTCTAGCCTGAGAACAGTTAAAGGCACCTGTTAAACTGTAGGACAGCCAGCTGCCAGTGCAGGAGGAGCAGGGCAGGGGTCAGCTGCTACCTCTGTAACATACTGCTCCTCTGATGTCTCTGTCCCCTCAACTCTAATGGGAGACCTCCAAGGGCCTGCCAGAAAACATGCAGAATTCAGGTCAACTTGGAGATTGCTGGTATAATCTTTACTTTTTTTTTTTCAGAACTACCTTAGTAATTGAACATAATGTTATTAGTCATTTTTGAAACCCAGAAAGCCAGCATACTTTAATTAAAATAATATTTTTTTTCTCCCTAAGTGGAATAAAAAGTAATACTGGAGTAGGATCTTTTGTATTGTTTTGTTTTGTTTTGTTTGAGACAGGGTCTCTCTCTGTCACCCAGGCTGAAGCGCAGTGGTATGGTTTCAGCTCATTGTACCCTCTGCCTCCCAGGTTCAAGAGATTCTCCTGCTTCAGCCGCTTGAGTACCTGGTATTACAGGTATGTGCCACCATGCCTGGCTAATTTTTGTATTTTTAGTAGAGACGGGGTTTCATCATGTTGGCCAGGCTGGTCTTGAACGCCTGACCTCAGGTGATCCGCCTGCCTTGGCCAAAGTGCTAGGATTAGCAGGCATGAGCCACCGTGCCCTGCTGGATCTTTTCTTATATGAGAATTGTTTTATTAGGACTCTGCCATTCTTTTCCTCTTTCTTACAAAGTTATCTACTTTTTTCCAAAAATCTGAAAACATTTAGGAATGAAATCTGTGGAATATGTAATGCCTTTTCTCCAGTCTAAAACTTAACCACTGCATAACTAATTTTAAGTACAAACTATGCTCTTGAGGTACTGAGAGTTACTGGTGTGTGATTGTGGTTAAAGTTAAAACTTTATTTATGGCTGTATCCCTAATTTGCTTTACTGATTTTTAGCTTTAGTATACTGAAAATGTCATTACATTTTAAAAGAAAAGAAGGTGACCAATATATTATTAAGATGTAAGAAAAAGCCTTTTTAAATTTTACTGATTATGAAATCAATAGATGTTTTATTTTTTAAAAACAAGCTAGAAAATACAAAAAATAGGAAAATATATATGAAAAAATATCTAGGCTGGGTGCTATGGCTAACACCCGTAATTCCAGCACTTTGGGAGGCCAGGAGCTCAAGACCATCCTGGCTAATGTGGTGAAACTCTGTCTCTGCTAAAAATGAAAAAAAAAAAAAAAAAAAAAAAAAAATTAGTTGGGCAAGGTGGCACGTGCCTGTAGTCCCAGCTACTCAGGAGGCTGAGGCAGGAGAATCGCTAGAACCCAGGAGGGGGAGCCAAGATCATGCCACTGCACTCCAGCCTGGGTGACAGAGCAAGACTCCATCTCAAAAAAAAGAAAAAGAAAAAAAAAATCTGTAATTCTTCTGCCCAAATTCAGTAACTGTTAAAATTTAGGTGAATTTTTTATACAATCAGAAACATTTATTGAACACCCTCTCTGCTAGTTCACTGCTAGGAACCAAGTAGAGAGACAGAGATGGCTCTTTTTTGAGCTTACAGGCCAGCCTGGAATAGGACCATGAGCTCATAAAGAACATGTATTGCCAGAAGGGAGAAGCTAATCTATGTGGCCCTGAGGAAATGACTTACCTGAGACCTGAAGGTTGAGTGAGACTCCAGTGTGGATAGGTAAGGGTGAGAGACAACAGCACATTTGAAGGTAAGATCATGAGCTAAGATCATGGTGTTTGAGGAAGTGAGAAAAGTCCAAGAATGCAGAGAATAAGCTATTGTCAGCTGCAGACATGGGAGTGACCTTCTTAAGATCTAAACTGGTGGTTTCTAGATTTTGAAATTTCATAGATGTTTTGGATCCAGCTACCCAGAAGAGTATCTTGAGGTAACTATTCCTTTCAATTTAGTATGGAAATACCCTGGGAGAAGCTGATAAGGGAGTAGGGAAAGCACAATGGGAAAAAGTCAAGCAAGGATGCAATTTCATATGACGTCGCAGTCTGCTGGGAGGCAAAGTTGATGGTGGGCTGGGCTCTCACACTCCTGCACTAGCCGGTCTTTGACCATGGGCTGAAAGGCTGGGAAAGGCAGACAGTCGGTCTTCCAGGCACATGTCACTCCCTAGATGAAGCCCAAGGCAGTTCTATGAAGACGATTGTAGTCTAAACCCTTAGGAGCAAAGTAAGCCCATCTGGAGGTGGCACCATAGAACTGATGAGGTGGGGGGTGTGAGGTGAATGGTGTTCAGGTGGGAGGAGTCAGCCACAATAAACTAGTAACATGATAATCATAAAAATTAGGGAACTCATAGACTTGTCAGATTATTTACCTTGCTAAATAAAATTTAACAAAGTAAAAAGACAAAATACCAATTTTATCTGTCATCACCATCATTTCATAAAAGAAACCTCAGTTTATACCAAGAAATTAGCATGATCAGAATCTTCAATAAAGAGCAGTCGGCAGTTTTATAAGAACATATATGTGTGTTCATTTTTTTGTATGTGCACACATAAATGTGCACACTAAATGTGCATTCTCACATTTAGTGATGGAAAACTCCATCATGCACTACTGTTTAGGAACCACTGGGCTCCACTGCCTATTATTTTAATTTTATATCCCTCCTTAGGAGTTAACAAACAAGAATGTATTGGAGTAGCTCAGGAATTTGTTTGCAGGAAATGGACTTCTCTTAGTCCCAGAACGTTTAAAATTTAAAGTCTTTTCCTGTTTCATGTGATTGCATTTCTTTGTTCAGTAAATGAAGTGGAAAAGTTACAGATAGTTCTACCAGATCTTAAAGTCCTTTCACTTCTTGCCTAGTGCCTTATCAAGAGGAAAAGAAAAAGATCCTGAGGATCTTCTTGCCTATTACCTTATTAAGAGGAAAAGAAAAAGTGTCCTGGTCCTGAGAATAACATCTTAATGGATGCTTGTTTGAGACTCAGAAAATAGGGTAGCTCAGGGTTACCATTTGGAAGAGAGAGACAAGGAAAAGTGAAAGAAGATGAAAAACAGAGGTCAGATTAAAGAAGCCAATTGGAATAAAGTTATTTGGGAATGAAATTTAGTGATGTGGATTTTTTTTTGAGTATTCAAAGCACTCCAACTATATAATATTGAAATTAAGAAAGCAGGGAGAAGGCTTTCATAGAATTTGCTACCAAATGGAGTTGCTTAAGTAATGATTTCCCAAATTTGTCATGATCTGGTCCTTTAGACTTTGTTGGCCAAGAAACATGATTTTGTCATTTAACTCAGAATTGACCAAGCTCTTCACTGGTTAATTATTTTTTAAAGCAGATGCTAGTTTATTAGTTTCCAGTTAGAGATGGGCTGGGAGGCAGGGAGTCAATAGATAGGCCTTTCAGAATACTTGCTACTTCTATTTCTCCTTGTTTTCCTATACTGTTCCTTCACTTCCAGCTAGTG